GGGTTGATTGTGCTTTGATCTGTTGCTAATGCCTCGGGGTTCCGGTGGGCATGTAAACAAATGCATAATGCTGCGCTATACTTTGTAGCCTCACCCAGTTGCATAGCAACACTTATAGTCTATGTCAGGGGTTCTCAAAGTGTGGGAAGGTGAGCCTCCCCTCAGAGAACATAAGAACATCCCCGCCCCCCCTCCCAATTATTATTGCTGTTATTATTATTATTATTATTATTGTTGCTATAATGCAGGGTTATTCAATTGCATTTCAAAGAGGTCCAGGAAGAGAACATGTCATAAAATGCTGTTTTTGCTACTTTTCTCTTTTTTGATTGGCTGAGCGTCACCTCCTTAAAACATTAAACAATAGCTTTTTTAAACCTCTTTATCTTTATGTTTTAAACATGTTGAGGTTAAGGATGGCAGCTTCCTCATACGTTGCACTCGGAGAGAAATAGTTGAGACGGAGATGTCTTTAGCAGCAGGGAGGAGTAACGTTTCACCAATGTTGTGAGGCTTACCTGCCTTAGCTATCCGTAACGCCACTCGGTATGATGCTTCGGTTGCCTATGTATTCACAGTGCTAAATGTGTCAATGACATTTTTCTGTGACTGCAATTCCTCAAAAAACTCCTGTGGCTTGGTCACCAAACATGGGTGTTTCGTCTCAATATGACGCCGGAGTTCATGGTCTCATACTGTCATTAGCTAGCACCTCGTTGCAGATAACACACTGTGGAGTGTCATCAGGACCGGTCCATGAAAATCCTAGCTTCAAATAATCATTGTCATACTTCCTCCGTTTTCTGACAGACGCTGTCTCCTCTCTCACTTTAGGTAACTTCACAAAAAATCAATCCATATTTTGCCGCTCTCATCCAGTTAGCTGAAGTTAACAAGCTCGATTTCACTGTTTCTCTTTATTTTTTTCTGGCCGCTGCGCCTCCCTTGAAGCTCTCTGGCGCCCCCCAGGGGAGGCGCACCTCACACTTTGGGAACCCCTGCTCTAGTTGAAACAAATGTTTATGATACTGAGATGTTTATTGACACGGTCACATGACTTCACGTCACCACCGCTAAGCTAAAAGCGGCTAATGTTGGGCGTGATGAGGTTTAGTCGTCCCATTTAGACAATTGTTAGCAACCGCTGTTTCTGGGGTATCAACTGATGTATTTTAGGGTGGAGAATAAAACAACTAAATATCTTCAGCTTGTGTTAACCACAGACCTTATTTCAGAAATCTAACCAAAATAATAAAATACAAAAATGCTGACTCATAACTGAGAGATAGGACTCATTCCTGCACCACTCTTTTGTTTTATAGATTAAAATAAGCATGTAAAAATCCACACCTTCAGTGTTGAGGATAATGCGCTCCACTAGTACCGGGTACTTCATGATGCGCTGCGTCACCAACAGGATGCACTCGGACACTCCTAACCTCCGCACAATGGACAGGTTGTTGACTTTCTGGAAATGAAATAACTTAATTAGACATTTAGTGGATTTAATAAACTTAGCTACAGATTTACTGGGGATTTCATCTCTTACCCGAATGATGTTTTGGAACTTTTTGTTGTTGTGCAGCTGTTCTTTGTAGTAGCTGACAGCCTCGGTGTGGTGACTGCAGAAATCTCCATAGCTTTCCTTCATCCTCCCCCCCACCTCACCTGAGAACTGGAGAATAAAGGAAACTTGACCAATTACCAAAATGTTATTTAAACACATAATTAACCTTTAACAAATGCTGAGATTCCTACGATTTAAAAAAAAAAATGGCACTTATGACAAAAGTCAGCTAAATGTTAAGTATTGTGAGCTCTCCATGGACATCCTCTCCTCCCTACCTGTGTGATCAGAATGTCGGCCACCCTGTTGATGGAGTAGTTCCTCTCGTTGGGCGAAGTGAGGTTCTCTCGCCGCCGCTCTTTGAGGCGAGACAGGAAGTGTGTGTGAAGCTCGAGGAGGTTCTCCAGGCGGGGGAACAGACAGTCCAGCTTCCCAGAGTCCATCTGCAGGTTCTCCTTCAGCTCCCGGACGTAAACGCGCAGCATGATCTTCAGCGTCCGCACGTGGTGCATCTCCGTCTGCATCAGCTCTGCACCAGGACACAAAGTTGTTATATATTATACGGTTATCTTCTGCCGTGTGTGACGGCCCCTAGGCCTTAGACTCAAGTCCCTGGTTAGCCACTCCCCAATCAGGAGAGAGTAGTTTGGCTCTACTGGACCTTGGTTTGTTTGTCTTTGCTTTATATACTGATACATGTTCACTAGGGGTGTAACGGTACACGTACCCGTACCGAATAGCCCTTCGGTTCGGTACACGTGTGTACCGAAGTGTACCGAACGAATATAACGTTAAACGTAAAAAATTGAGAACGTGAACAACTCTTTGGAAGTAATTTTATTATATTTTGTATTTATTTGAGTGAATATTCAGTTTAATAATAATTAAAAACCCAAAACTAATAGTTTATGTTTTGTGAGTACTAGTACAGTAAAGTTCAAATACAGATTATTTCAGTTCATCAAAATGCTGCACCTTTAATGGTGATCTCTGGGCTCATAGATCTCGGCCTCCGTTACGGGTTGTTTAGTTTTTTGTTGTTGAAAAGTGTCCCCTTTCCCCATGTCTGTCGTTGATTGTGTGCACCTGGTGCCTTGTGTTGTCTCCTCCCCCCTCACCTGTGTCCTGTTGGGTTGGGCATTTAGGCTCTGGGGTTTTGCTGTTAGAGAGGGAGTGTGTGTGAGTGTGAGATCCTGGTGGTGGCTGGTGACTGTGCGCACAGGAGCAGCAGATTGAGGCTGTGTCAAATCATATGTATGATTTAATAAATGCCCACACCGGGTTTTGGACGTTCTGCCTCTGCCTCCTTGCTTGGTTGGGCTGCTCAATTGTCAGCTTCACACTTGGAAAGCAGC